CCACAACGTGCGCTGCACCAAAATAAGTAAATTTACTTACGATAACGTCTGAAACTAAGCGTCCAAAATTCCCTAGTGATAGTGCTGCGATCTATTGAATTTTCCTACAAGTATTTTTCGGTGCATTTAGTCTTAACTTCAACATCTCGTTCAGTAAATGACTCGTTCAGTAATTTTCGCATTTGTTTCAATATAAACGTTACGTTACGTTTTAATAAATGTTAAAAAATACGTTACTGGATCTAAAACTTTGCCTGCATAGAGGCAAAGTATAGTGATAGTATACGTAGTATATAATCTTATATTATATATGTATAGATCATACTATATTAGTACGTATAATTATATTCATATATATCATTAAAAGGTTTGTTAAATTGGATTGTTTCCACAGGTCTGTTTTCCACAGTTAAAAGGTTACTGAAGAATCCGATTGTTGGGCTTTTAACACTGTTTCTCATGTTCCTGTACGCGCCATTGCATTTTTTCTCCCAGTACGAAAATCGCTATCTTGAATCAGTGTACTTTATCCCAGAGCCCGAATACAGTGGTGGAGTGTTCAAGGATCAATGGACATCAAGAGTCACAACAGGTAAGTTCATTTTTGGTTTCTTTCTTCGTGTTAGGTAGATATTTTTGGTGACCAGAAACATATTTACTTTAAGATTAATGCACAGTGAAAATACATATGTTTCAGTTACATCGATAATACAATCAGTAAAGTACATCAATAAACTACATCACTGGACTCATATGTATGACTATTTTTTCAAAAATAAAGTGAAGAATTAAAACGAAATACTTTTGATTTCGAAAATAAAAAATTGAAGTTGACATACAAAATGTTGTTTTAAAAATTAGTAGTCTTAGCGATTTTTCAGCGTCTAGTAGTGAGTACTAAAAAAAAGTTTTTATCATTATTGTTACGATCCTAACGACTGCTATCTAAAACACTTTCGAAACTTGTGTTGCTTCAACGCCTTAACACTGTCTCTTCAACAGTTTACACTTAAAAAACTTGTCTAAGAAAGTGAAATTTACTTTGTACTGGATTACAACTTACAAATGTCAGCCCTTGAACTGTGGGTAACGACGACCCTGACCAGCTAAATCAATTGTGATAGGAAAATAGGGTACAAAAGATTTTATCGCATACTGGGCACCGTTAGCTTGACGGCAAAGTCGTACTATCGACCCAACTTGTGCGTATGTATTCCAAACACATCCGCACAAGTTTTCTTGTTATTCCACAGCAAGGTGCAGGGAGATGACTCTGGCTATGTAGCAACGCGGGCATGAACCTAAGCGTGGCACGAGAAATGCTACGATTGCTTTGAAGGTACAGCGTGATTGTTGACAGTATTGTAAACTGGTGCGTGCCTTTTCGAGTCGAATTTAAGTAACTGATCGTGCCGTGCTATTCAGCGCTGGGTGAGGACTAGGGGGCTCCTGTACGTATCAAGAAAACTTGCGCGAGTAGTACATAGGGTTGACACTTTCGGAAAGGAAGCCACCCGAAAATGATTGATTATCGGGGGGGGGGAGGGAGATGAAGGTGCAGTAAAGTAAATATTCAAATTCACTAATAACATTTATTATAAAAGAATGCAGGACTTCTTTACGATTAATAATAATAATACATTTATTATGTTAATAACACATTAATTACTACAATAATTATAGTTCTGTTCAACTAGACATTCATCACAAAATCAGTATTCTTCACTAATCACAAATTACCGTTTTGCTGTCTATTTCCATCTATATGTTTCATTTGACAGCGCTTTCTTTAGCAATTCGATTTGGGCTGGTTGACTAACGAATCTGAAAAATTCCCCGCATGTCATTTCATAATTTAACTTAATCAACAGCTCCGCCTTGACTAATTCTGCCCTCATCTTGTTTCTATTATCGGTCCATAAGTTCCCCACGATAGAAAATACGCGTTCAACGAAAGCGTTGCTTACTGGAATCGATAAGACAGTTGCGACAATCTTCGAAAGCTCATTAAAAGATTGTGCAGATGAGAAAATTTTCACCCATTTGATATCTGTGGGCAAATCAATTGACACATCAGCAATAACTTTTGTCACAATTTGCACTTCGTCATACAATCGTCTAAATCTACATTTAAATTAATTTCTTTTACCACCTGTACAACTTTGTCATATGAGAAATCCCCCTTTTCAAATTAAGCACTGTGAAATATTGATAAGGACTCTTTTCGAAATCATACCACTTTTCAATATAATTTAAAGCTTTTTCGTATACAGTCAATGCTTCCTTTTCAAATTTTCGACTATCAGCTGAAAACTTCCAAATAATTTTGTGTGTCTCATCTTCTCCCTGATTAATAAAATATTGCTTTATAGCTGGCCAGCATTGTATAATCCGTTCTACAGCTCCAAAAAGGGATAACCACCGGGTAACGACGTGGCGTAGTATTTTCGCGTATTCCATATCCATAAATTCGAAACATGCCTTTAGTTTTTCCACTTTCTTGGAACTGTTAGAGAAGTCAGAAAATATTTTAAAAATGAAGTTCTCAACGTTGTATGATAATGCTTTACACGCATTTCTTGAAGCGTTGTGTACGACATGGCAATTTCAGTTACCTTTTATAATATTTGAATTAACATCAGTAAGTTTTAGATAAATAGAATTATTTATACCATAATTCACTGATGCATTATCAGCAGTGTACGACGATACATTTTGTAGATGTAGATCATGTTCCTTCAAACACAGTACAATGTGTTCGAAAATCGATGCGGACGATTTATTGCTATCTTCATAAAAGTCTATGATTCTATTTTTTACTCCTGTCTGGATGTCACAATACTTTATAGCAATGGGAAAGAACTTGCGATTTCCTCTGTTAGAAGCATCTGTCGCTATCGAAAATGGAAGAGGAAATTCATACTTTTTCAAATCTTCAAGAATAATTTCTACTGATTTAGGAGTTAAACATTTTCCGTAATTGCCTCAGCTTTCGTTAGTTCGACCGCAGTGCAATTTTTTGAGCAACAGTAGAGTCGGAATAGACTCCTGCATTCAATTTAATTCCACAGTCAATGCTAAGATAACTATGATGGTGACAAAGTCCGTGGTATATTTGTGTAATTTCAGCTGCATCCTCTTTTAATTCTTCTGCTGATCCTTTAGTTGACATGAAATAAGCTGATTGGTTGCAACATTTTGGCTGTTTGTCGTATGCTTTTTACTGCATAAGTGCGTTTTAGTGCTTTTTCGCCATCATGCTTGACGGTGAAGGTCACGTTGCAAATACAGCGCTTTGCAGTAAAATTATCAACTTTTTTATCCAACTCCGATATTCTGGATATAAAGTCCATTCATTTTAGAAAGATGAATAATAATTAGTTTTTCGTTTTTTCGCCGTACTCTGTCCATTATTAGCCGTTATCTCAAACTTTTACGAAGTCTGAAAATATTGAAATACACAATATAACACAGATCAGTAAAACCATGTTTAAAAATATTTATATTAATAATTTAACAAGTACAGTGGAATTAACAATCATATTATTAGTACATACTAGACCTCACCTTCAGTGTCATGAAATATTCATGCAATTTACAGTGCAAAAGTGGACCTATTTACTTTTATTTGACTGGAACAGCTCCTCCTTACTATCCTATAAAAAGCAGAGTAATAGTTATATGACGGAAAATAATTATGTAACTCTACTAATACATTGCTGAGATCTTTGCATATAAAGTTATCTAATTTAAATTTTTATTTTTATAAAATATAGTCACATAAATAATAATTTACTTTTATAGAATTATTATTAATGTTTTTAAAATCAATAATTAAATTTGTAGGGCATAAAATTCAAAGTAACCATTTCTTAATACAATTAAAAACATCTTACATACATATAAAATGAAAAGAATTTTGCACGTGAAGTCACGCTATCACAAATCTGATTCAAAATAAATAAAGTTAATTTTGATCAATCTTTTCTTATTCGATGTTTTTATACTAACAATAATGATTTGAGATAGTTCAATGTGCATAGTTACGTGAACAATGTATAATAAATATAATGATAAATTAGTAAAACGATATTTCAGAGAAATTCAATATACTTTTTTTCTAAGAAATTTTTCATAACAGATTCGCAATAACAGATATATATGTACTTTATATATTTATATCTTACACTAAAATATACTTAAAATAATCCTTACCTTATTATATTACAAAGATCAAATGATTTGTGTAAAAAAATAAATATTCAAAAGAAATATTACTAATTGAGCATAAGAAACAAGGCAATCAAGTTTGAAAACCCAATACTACGACCGCCATACTATAACAAAAGAAAACCGAGAATGTAAAAATTCCTAGATTTGACTCTAGTCAATACATCTACTAGAGATGGCGCCAAATTAACATGTTTTGACCACGCGCTAAAATCTGTCGAGCCGAAATCCGTAAGTATCCATAATTGGCTGATTCGAATTGATGATTTAAGAACAAATACTGAAAATTACAGATGTTTTCTTATGCGTATATCACTGACGTCTGACAACCCTTGCAGAAAAAAAACAATAATTGTCTGCATTTTCTGTAATTTATTGAACTTTATATGAAATCATTTGATAAAATAAAATTATTCAACACAGATTAAACACTTTTTAAAAAGTGAAAAAAGCTATTACATTACATAACCCGGAGATTTTCAACAGTAACCCGGAGCCCGGAGATTGTCTATGAAACCCGGAGTCTCCGGGTCAAACCGGAGAGGTGCAACCTGTCACTACTAGACACAATGCTTCACTCGATGAAAATCACGTAAGTTATTCCATAAGACGAGCTTACTTCAAGCAAGTAAGGACTCTGAAACCGTAATGTAAAATTCTGTCTTATCTATATTAGGATAAAGTATGTGCTGTCTGAGCCCCAAAACACCCCAATCGGATCATCCTGTACGCATTATATATGCTTGTATTTAACATTTTGGGTCGATAGTCCGACTTTGCCGTGCAGCTAACGATGAGCCCATGCCTGGGCCTAGTGTAATTCCCATGGTTAGGGCTAAGAGCGCCATGGGGCGAACACGACGTTTTCCCTTCAACGTAAGGAGTTAGATGCACCTGCCTGAGCTTTTCTTTGCCGTACAGCTGCAGCAATTGGGACGATTTTAGAGGAAGCTACAACTCTATTTTGCCTCGATCGGGAATCGAAACCGGAACCACACCTCAGGAAGCTAGCACGCTGCCCATGAGAGATCCTAGAGGCCTTGTAAGCTTTATAAGTCGTGTAAATCGGTATACACACGCTGATGACATGATGCATTATTTCCCGCATACTAGCACACAAGCATCATTCGTCGTTTTCCAGATTTTCATCTAGCAAATATATCCCTTTCAATTTATTCTTGATGACTTTTGGCTTGTCTTGAATAACATTACCTCTACCTTCATACAAATGAGTCGTTTCAATGGGCAAGTGTTGAAGTTACACTGTCCAGAGTAGTCCTTATAAGTTCTAGAGGATGAGAACTGTGAAGGGTCTTTTTTTTCGCTCTGTGGATTGTTGGGTTCCCGTTGGCGACGGTCTCAACTCTACTAACAAGTTCAATGGTATATAACTGAATTGGGTTTACTGCTCTAAAAAGATTTGGGCTTGTTGGAGTAATTTCCTGATTTGAGCTTCATAAAGATAATAGCAATTTGTTAGACTACGGTCAACGGATTAGTACAGAAGAATACTTTTTTCGACTGAACTTTTGTGTGATAGCTTCCTGATTGTGTACTAATTTAGGCTCGCGATGATTTAACTAATTGCTGCAATATTGGTATTGTGGAGAATTATCGTTGGCATTTACAATGAAATAATTATATGAGTCGTCATTGCCAACAATGTTTATTGCAAAAGCAGCTTTCGATGGCTTAGCCATCCATCATCATCACGTCTCTGCTGTAGTATACTATAGTTGTTTGTGGCTTTCATACAGCAGGAAACTGAGGATGAAGGCTAAGCCATCGAAGGCTGCTATTTTAATAAATAATATTGTTGGCAATGATGACTCATAAAATTATTTAATTGCTGCAAATCAACTGGAGTCTATTAGTGCTGTTATCGTCAATTTAGCGTAGCCTCTAGCTTTTAATATCTTCTAAATTCTCACACAAAAATAAATTAAGATACAAATTTCAAAGTGTCGAGTTTTTATGTTTTTACTTACAAAACACTATAATAATTCATTCACTCGACTCCTTTTTCATTCTCTCTCCCTAGTACACTTAAGATGAACGAATGTATGGTGTCTCGATATTCCTGCAGATTAAAGAGCTGGATGTGGTGTTTGCCATTTTAGGGTGGTTTGAAAATTTCTTGATTTTATTTTTGCCTTGTAGATCTATAATGAAACTAACCCACACGCTTCCAAAGATACATTTGGAACGAATTTTCTAACAATACTTTGGTACGATTTAAATTTTTAATAGGCTTCTTCCATTCTCTCATTCTTTGCCTCAGAACGGTTTGTTTTCTAATGAGATTCCTCCATTACATTTCGCCTTATTGTACAACCTAAGGTGTTTTAACTGGTAGCTTCATATCTCGAGTTTCATGCACGTTGCATAGTCTCTCAACCTGAATTTTAGAATGCAAAACTCCACGCATAGTTGTAATACTTACGACAGAACTTTAGGCTGATATACTCTCGATTTTAGCTACTAATTTTATTTTGGTACTACTAAAATTAAGATTCGCAATTATATAACTAGTTGCTGCAAGTCATCATTATACAGTATTTCAAACTCGTAGGTGTGCGGACGTGCAGATGAGTGTTTTTGCCATTCAGTCAATGGCGTCTAGACCACTTCCCGTGCACTAATCGAGACGTATGATGTGTCATTCGACACGTCTCAGTCTCCTGATGAGGAATCCTTATTTTTCGGATCCGGCTAGAAAATTCAAAGAAATTTACCAAGACTTGTATTTTTCGTGTTTTGGCACTGCGATCTTAGTGATAATGCCAGGAATCAAACCAACTCTTCCTAAATCGATCTATGTTGGTGGCGTTGATTAAATACCCTGTTCTCTTTGAAGGTAATTCTGTAATCAACAAAAGCGTATGTACGGAAAGATGTATCGACGGCGTCTTATAAATATATACAAAACATAATATAATATACACAAATATATACATCACCCTTCGTAAATTAGTTTAGTGTAATCACAGTATATACTATTTTTCTTTTTTATCATATCTTATTATGTAACTTGTATAATAGAAAACTGATTATAATATGAAATATTTCTTAGCATAGTACTACCGCGGTTGGGCAAAATACTTTCACTCAAAATTCATATTGAGTATTTATATATTTTGCGTATATTGAGTATATTTATTTATATTGCCAAAATACTTTGTAAATAAGTATTTAAATACATACTCAAAATACATTAGGCTTCGAATTGCTAAATACATACGTATTTAAAGTACTTCAAATACTCAAAATACAGTAAATACAATAATTTTGCATTAACATTTTTAATTGCAACAATATATTGTAATTTCAATTACAATAAATTACAAATTGACATTCATACATTTCTGAGCAATAGCTAAAAACTTTCAAATATAAAACATTTTCACTTATACTTTCACAAAATCACTTTTAAATATAAAATATCAAAAATATGTCTAACTCAAATAAGCAGAATTTCCTTTTAAAACGACTAGTTTTTTAAACAAATCATTAGACAATAAAACCCTAATTGGCGAATGTGTAAACATTTCGGATAATTGTCCAACATTTTTAATGTTTTAGATTTATCATTTATAAATGAGAATTCAAGTTCAACGGATGAAAGGAGCTTTTATTTTTGTTTCAATGAGGTCTATTCACTAGCAGAATCAAACAAAAAGGTCCTCATTATCTTCATCTGTATTTAAAGTATTTTAAGTATTTCTTTTTTTAAATACACCTATTTTGTTTTTAAATACACCTCTAAAATACATGCCCCAACAACTCATAAATAGTTCTTCAAATACAAAATATATTTAAAATACTGCCCAAACCTGAATACTACTATCTTTAAGTAGTACTACCTTGCAATGAGCCTTGAAAATATAACAGAGAATATTTTATTTTATGCAATTAATAGATTAATTTGTATGATAATTATTTTATAAAATATTGTCATACTCATTTGTATTGTTTATTTTTTCAGCATTTCTAAAACCACCAATTATATTAATGACAATGCTGCTTTCTGGAATGATAATTGCCAGAAAACGCCCTAGACCATCTTCTTTAGCAATGTGGAATGTAGTTGTAGCTTCCCTAACAGCTGCAACATTTTTTACATTTATATTTCTAAGCTGTCCTGTTCACATAACAGGAATGACTGATGGAAAGTACGTAGCTTTTGGAATTATTTTTAGACATACAGTTGGCAGGTCCATGCTAACGCACGGGCTCAGAGTCCCCAATGTCCAAGAACTCCCAATAGGTCTTAGAAAATATTTAGTACTAATTTTTTTCAAAAAATAAAATAAAAAACCATATGAATAAGTGATCAATGATTAAAATACACGCAACAAATTGGCAAAACAGATTCATGTGTTGCGCATCATTAGATATATATTATACAAAATGTTGCTGGTTGATGTGAGAATGTCACTCAGTGAAGAGAAGTTGATTAGTTAGTTTATTTTTTTTTAACTAAACGTGTCTTTAAATTGGGGCGTGTGTGAAAGTAAGAGTAGGGAAACCCTCAAATTAATGAAGGCCCAAGGATCAACAATGCTGTTAAAACAGCCTTGATAGTTGGATAAAGTTTACCTTGCGCACTTTCTCAGAAGCTCTCGAGTATTTCGTTCATCTTATGTCATCTGGCGATAAAAGTGCCAATCTACTTTAATGAAGGGAAGCCAGATAGAAATATTCCTACCAAAAAATTATACAGAAAATCACCATATTGTAAGTCTGGTTTTCATAGCTTTCAATTTTCTACAATAGCATTGTTCCCCGACTTCAAAATCGCACACAATTGTCAATTTATGGTCGTCACCATCAGTTTATATTATTTTCTTTTTTACAGAACAAAATGTATAATATTTTTCACATTTTTTCACAAGAAATTAAATTATGTTCTGTGAAGATTACACTATATTTATTTGATGTCAGTTCCAGATGAAAGAATTTAAGACTAATAAGTTGGAATGTAAGTTGATTGCAACTGTAACTTCTTTTTCATTTTCGTCATTACCTTTATTTTTATAAGGAAACTTTCAAGTTTCAAGAGAAAAAATACACAAATGCCAGCAAGTAATAAGTAAATTTCATCCTATATTTTTCTCAATTGTTTATACATACCTACCCTTTTATGAGAGTATTGTAATATGGAGCCGTCCATAAATTACAAAACGCAAATGTGGACTATTTTGAATACTCCCTCTCCCCCGTGTAACACACCTGTAATGTGCGATTGAACTAAATAATTATAGAAAGCTTCTGACCTCCCCGTAAATGAAAGAAGTGAAAATACATTACAGCCCAGTAAAAGAAATGTATTCATTTTCTGTGAGGTGTCTTAAAATTTATGTTTATTAATAATTAAAGTCAGAATTAGTTGTCGATGCTGACTGCACCTAACAATAAGATTGAGGGCAAATTTTGAGTGAAGGAGGAACGCACAGGCGAGAAAATTTCTGATCACAAGCTGTGAACTTACTGCCATAGATGGCATGTGGGTGAAAGTCTACTCCGCCAATTTAATTGGATTATAAAATATACTACATATCAGTTTTGAATATTTTCTTCATAACCTTTTAGATACAATTCAAAATTGACGAAAAAATATTTCCATTTATTGCAACAACTTTTAATAACTTGCAATTATTTATGTTTTATCACAAATGAAGTACATAATATTTTAGTATAAAACTAAAAAAAGTATTTCAAAAAATGTAAAAAATATCAGTGTTAAGAAACACTAATCGAATACCTCCTTGCCCTTGTGTAATGCAGTGCTATGCGGCCTCAAACCCCATCCCCGCTCTTCAGCATAACGTAATTTATGGATGACCCCTACAAACATACCTGTTCTATGTATAAAACAGGTGAACTTTGGTTTTCAAAATTCTACATCGTGCATGAACAGGAAAGTAATATTAATTTTTACAATGCTATATAATGTATTAGTTATCATTTGGGCTGTATAATTCTGAACAAATATTGTACCTCAGCTTGTGGGTCAATGACCCACATCTCAATAAGGTATTTTGTCCAGGTTCCCTGATCCATTGAACAAATGCTGAGATGGCCCCTTGTTTTGCTTCTTCGACGGTTTCTACCCCTTAGAGTTCGCCGTTTTCGATTTCCATAGTTCTCGGCCCTCCCATTGTTCCTCTTTCAATCCTTTCTCCTCCATTACTTCATGTATATATGTCTTCCAGGTTCAACCAGGTCTACCTCTTCTAGTCTTCTTTCAGGTATTCAATTTAAAATTTGTTTTGGCCATCTCTCATTTCGCATCCTCTGGACATGTCCATACCTTTGAAGAGCTTTATTTTCTAGTCTTCTGATTATGGATGTTTGACCCCAGCTCTTTCCCATACCTCTTCGTTTCTTATTTCATCCAGTCTTGTTATCTGCAAAGATCTTCTCATAATGTCGAGCGCTACCGACTGTATTCTGTCTCTACGGCATTTTGTTAACGGCCACATTTCTGCTCCATATAATATAATACTTTACACAATACTGCGGAATATGTATCGTTTTGTGTCTTGCCTTAAAACACTATTCCATATAAGGCCATGCAGAGCTTTGATTGCATTCCTCCCCATTGCAAGTCTTCATCAATTTTCCCATCCTCAGTAATTACAGTTCCAAGATATTTAAATTTCGAAACGTTAGCTATCTCGTCATCAGCGACATTAATGTTAGAGGCATCTCCTTCTATGCATAAATATTCTGTCTTTTTAAGGTTGATTTTAAGTCCCCATTTTTCGTATTCTTCTTTTAATTTGCGAAGCATATACTCCATATCTTCCCGATCTCATGCCATAATTACCTGATCATCTGCAAAAAGCAAAGAATGTAAGCACTTGTCATTTATGGGAACTCCCATATGAGAACATTTCTTGTACCAGGTTTTCAAAGCTTGTTCCATATATATCTGTGTGTGTGTGTGTGTGTGTGTGTGCGCGCGCGCGTGTGTGTGTGCGTGTGCGTGTGCGTGTGTGTGTGTGTATATATATATAGATATATATATTCCTCCCCATTTTAATGCACGCTTCAGTATTCTGGTACATTTTTGTAACTAAATTGATCAATTTTTCTTGCACTTTCAGTCTTCTCATTGCTGGCCAAATTTTAAATCTTGGACAGTGACATTGGCCTTTTCCAGGTCAATAAATGTCATATATGTATCTATATTGTGCATTCCATTTTTTTCTATTATCTGGCGTAAGCAATGGATGTTATCCAAACATGACCTCCAACTCCTAAAACCACTTTGTTCTTCGCTGAAAGTTATCCCTTTTTGTGTTTTTTTTCTTTAGAATACTAGCGAATAGCTTAGCTATTGATGGGATGACACTAATTCCTCTGTAATTTTTACAAATAGTTTTGTCTCTGTAATTTTTACAAATAGTTTTGTCATCTTGTGTATGGAACTGATGTATGATGTATTCCATTCCTGCGGGATATCACTGCTAACTTCAATTCTGTTAAAAATATTTTGGAGGTATTCAATTATACTAGAGCCTCCGTATTTTAAAATTTCCATTCTAAGGTTTCCTGGTGCTGGAGCTTTATTGTTTTTGGCTCTCGCCAAAGCCCTCTTTACATTAAGCCGACTAATTTCAAGTTCCCATTCTTGCCAATGTGTGCATTCTAAATCTCGGTGGTATTCGACTCTATTTTCTTGCAATAATGTTTCGTAGTAATCAATCCATTTCGTTGGAGTTATTATTTGTACTTTGCTTCTGTTACAGTTTTTTCTCATATTTTTAATTGTTTTCCATGCTTCAGTTTGATCGTTATATCCAATGTACTCTCTATATTCCTACATAATCTCTCACAGTGTTCATTTTTTCAATTTTTACTTAATTCTTTAACTTATTTTCTCTTTCTACATATTCCTTCGTGTGCGTCATTCCTGTTTTGAAATCCATTCAAATATAATTTTTTCTTTTCCTTAATCATCTTTCTAAATTTTCGCTAAATTTCTCTACAAAACTTGCTTTTTTCTTTGCTCCACTTCTAGAACTTCCTTACTGCTTCAAAAACACCCTCTTTAAATGATTGTACATTCTTCAGGACTTCTATCTTCTGGTTTTCTAGCTTATTCTTAATTCTGTGTTTGGTAGAGCATCTCAACACTGTATTGTTTTAAAAGGTCTATTTTAAAATTTACGTCGTTTTATTCAATTAAAAAGTCAGTACATCTTCATTTATTTCTAAAAGGAAAAACATGTTTGCTCACTACATATGATGATCAGTTCCACATTCTGGTTGACGGTATACTCTCACATCATTTAGTTTTACTCTTCTTTCATTCTTCACTACAACTAAATCAATTACAGATTGAATATTTTTTACTGGATCTATTCGTGTTTATTTGTGGCTGTTTTTATGTCTGAAAAAACGTATTCCCTACACATAGTGCATGTTCCTTACATAGGTTGATTATTTTTTTCCATTGTCCTTAATATTTTCCTCTCCGTATTGACCTACTACTTCACGTTCTCTATTACCTACTCTGCTATTAAAATCTCCAATTAATATTATTTCATTTTGATACGGAATACTCGCTATAATACAAGTACTCGGAATACAAGTGCATTATCACTTACGGCATTTACCCCTAAAATTGTTATCTTATGACCAAAAACGTTCATGTCTATTCTTAGTATCCTTTCATTAACATTCTCTATCTGTTTAATGAATTTTGTCCATTTACGTTTAATAAGGAAAGAAACTTCATTTCTAGCTCTAAAATCTTTGGGTACACCACTCCCAATATGAAGATATTCTTTCAAAATTTCTTCCCCTGTCCCTTTTTTCTTCGTTTCCGTAAGTATAATTATGTCCAGGTTCATTTTTTTCAATGTCTGAGATGACCTCCCTCTATTTTGTTCGTAGGCCTTGTATATTTCATGTTCCAATTTTAATTGTCCGTTTTCGTAGCCTTTGTCGTAAATTAAATTTTGGTCCGCTCCGAGACATATTTAAATCGCTTTGAACTGATGTTTTTTTTATGGAGCCGGGATGTTAGCCCTGCATCCAAACCCCATGCTTAATCCTGGAGGTAGATATTTTTTCAGGGTTATCATCCTTTAGGAAAGTTGGTTTCACCACACCTACCCCCTTCGTGGTGGGTAGGAGGCCCCCCTCCCCCCCTTGGTTCTGTAGGTTCTCACCACGCAGAGCATCCAGGGCCACCACGAGGCGGTTTGGGAAGGGACTTGATGACTCAGCCTACTACAAAGGCTCCCCATTACAGGAGGGCTTTTCCTGGCACTATTGGGGTATACCTATGAGCCTCAGTATACCTCACCAGGGCCCGAGTCACCCATTAGGACCCCCCTTGTTTTGCTTCTGGCCATAAATGTAACTTCACTAAGTCAGATTTTTGCTCTCAAACACTAAAAATATTATACTATCTGGGCACGTAATCTAGAGATCATAGCTACTAGAACAAGTTGATTCCTTCATAAAGGTCACAATGAACGATAATAGCCCAAATGTTAATCTGATATGCATTTTCAAATAGATTTTATTTAAGGGAGAAAATGTTTTATAACAATTGTTGCAAAAACACTCATTTCCATCTGTATTCAGAATTCAACTAGTATATAAGGTAGGAATCCCAGAATTTATAACAATGTGCTTAGAATACAAATCTCCCCATGGAACTTCACATACAGTTTTTAGTGGTTTCTGTTATTAATTTTTTAAATTCTGTTTTAATTTATATTAATATTCCAATCCATTCACATGATAATTTTGATAAAACATTTTGTTTATTTCAGTTTAGAAATTGAAGCAACTTGCAACAAGGCTTGTAACTGTCCTAGTAATATTCCATTTGTTCCCGTATGTGACAGAAATGGAATTAATACCTTTTACTCTCCTTGTCATGCAGGGTGTACAAATGTAGAGTACATAGATGATATTAAGGTAATAGCTCTTAGTGTATTTATGTATTGATTTCTAAATAATTATTTTTCCTATTTCAAAAATGAAGATATTCTAATAAATATATCCTTTAAAAGTTTTGTTTGAAAATAAATCATGAAAAATCCTTTTAAACTTCTGTTTTGCAGTTATATAATGACTGTAAGTGTCTCAAATATGAAAGAAAGGCAAAATCTGGAGCCTGCAGTTATTCAAATTGTACATCAAAGTGGGTGGTCTTTCAATCTCTAGGAGTATTTATTTCTGGACTTGTGGGAACATGTGTTGTTGGAAGTGTACTCTTGTGCTTTAGAAGTGTAGCAGTTCAAGATAAAATGCATGCAATTGCATTTGTCATTGCACACATTGGTGCCACTCATCTTCCAGGAAAATTTCTTTTCAAATTTGTAACTGGTAAGTTAAGATATTTATTAATAAATTCAAGATGTTTTATCAAATTTCTTTTAATTACAATTGAATAATATTTGTTTCAGAGGCAACATGTATTTATTGGGGTGGTGAATATCAGTGTCAGCTGTTTGATGCTTCAGATCTTGCCTTATGGTTCAATCTAGTTTGTGGAAGTAAGTAAACCTTTTGTAGTCATAATTGCATTAATGTAATTGTTTTAATTATAAAACTATTTTAACAATAAAATACCCTATCATCATCAGTAAGATTTCATTCCAGGTCATTTCTTCATTCCATTTTCCTCTAGTGCCAAAGATTGCCCCCCCCCATCTCACTCTTGGCTTGTAATTTAGTAAGAACTTTAGAGATAAATGCTCGGCAATTCTCTGAACTCGGTCAAACCATTTTTTTAAATTTTCAAGAACTGGAGGGTTTTATTTTACGTAGCTACTTTAAATAAAACCTGCTTTTCGCATCAGGGCTGCCTTTGCATTTCGGAATATATGTAATGTCCAGTTTTTATATCCAAAAAGCAGTGTGGGGATTGTGAATCCTTCACAAAATTAATCTGTGTTTTTTTCTGGTTGAGGCTTTTTTATTCAATAGCAGATTGGTGTTAAAATCACTTTTGTGCCAACTGTAACTGATAAACTAACTATCCCACCTCTCATATACAAAACACATTTACAAATCTGTTATTTTTATAATAGAATATGCTTTTTTTTTGATGGCAGAGAGGTATTTTGCCCACAATAAGTGACTTTTTCCTTCTGTTCATCAATTTTCAGGGTCTATCTCATATCAATAGTAGTTTCAATTCATTTAGAATACATCATAGAATAATTCTTAAAATATTAGAATCTAAAACATTTTGCAAACATTTTTAAAGTGGGTCAACCTTTTTCTGTTTGCAGCCTTTTTTGGTCTGTTCTGTTATACTACATTTTTATGTCTGGAACTGAAACAACAAATTTGAGTGAAACAACAAATTTATATGATACTTAAACTTTTTTCTTGCCTTTAAATATATTTTATAACCACTTTTTTAGCACAAAAAACTTATAAAGTTTGTTACACAAGCATATGATGTTGATATTCATTTTCATCTTGTTTTTGAGTCTTAAAATTTTTGTAGATTCACAGAGGCCATCCATAAATTTCGTGATACAAATTTGCAGTATTTTGAATACATCTCTCCCCCTTGAAATGCGTCAGTAACCCACACTTGAGCTCGTGCCCCCCCCTAAATAATTGTGTAATGCTTTTGACAAGCCTTCCATTTCAATAAGTAAAAATAAATTATAAAGCAATAATAAAAGCTTGAATTAATTTTATTTGTGCTATATATTAAAATCCCTGAAATAATGAAAAAATGAAAGAATTAGTTGGTGATATGGTCTGCTCCTAACAATAAGTTTGGGGAGAATGTTTAAATGAAGGAAAGATACAGAGACAATTTTTCTAAATTACTCTCCTAAATTACTGATAAAATAATTAATATTTATAAAATGTTATTCTATATGGTGAATACTTCTGTGAATGATTTAGCAAACATACTTTTATATTCATTGATTACCAATGAATAACACTTAACAACCATTAGGTTAAAAGAGAAATTACCTTTCCAGTGAATAAACACCTGATTATGGAAAGATGGAAGGAAATAGGACACACAAACAATATTAATTGCTTTAATGACATAATTGCAAGTAGTTAAATGTTGTACTTTCATTCTCAAGTTAGTGTATTTGCTTTGCCAAGATTAATGATTCAATTTTTTTTTTTTTTTTTCCCCTTCTTCTTCTTCTTTTCAGTTTTACTGCTTTTTGCAGTTCTATTTGGATTCCTTGCATGGCGCCACAGCAAAGATATAAAGCTTTTCAAAGATACACTTGATGACCCAGATACTATAGAACTGAATGAAATAAGACAAAAGCTAAATGCTCGCCTGGCTACACCATTTACAAGACGGCGGAGAAGAAATAAACATGAGGATAACTCATCAGAAGAACAATCTGATGATGAACCAAGAATCACAGATAATGTACAAAATCACAGGGGAGTTGCAGAAACTGAAGTACTTCAACCTCTTCGACCACGTCGACAAAGAACAGAAAGTAATGAAATTCAACAAAGTGAAAATGATCACAGAACAGAAAATATTGTTGCAGAAGCAGAAGTTCTTCAACACCTCCAACCTCTTCAACCACATCAACAAAGAATAGAAAGCAATGACTTTCAACAAAGTGCAAATGATGTACAAAGAACAGAAAAGAATGCTATTCAACAAAGTGAAGATGATGAAGAAAGTGAAAATAATGAAAGTGACAATGATGAAAATGTAAGAAAAGAACCAAGTCAAAATAATAATAATAGAATCTGGCGTGCAACTGTGGTCTAGAAAATTTTAAATTGCCTGTAGTACTGTAGTGAATTAATTTTTGTATAATGTAAATCAGAATCCAATAGTGGATTTACAACATAAGTTCTCATTGATTTACATTATTTTCTTACAGTTTGAAAGTATTTTTTAATCAGTGCATTGTGATAATTAGTTACCAAGATAAGTTGTACTAATGTATATATCATAATATTAATCAACACAAGAGTTTTCAATTGAGATGAGATATTTCTCATTAGTCTTTGATATTCCTTCTTTTACAGTATGTAAGTTGGAGTAATTAATACCACTTTCATTAACTTTATATGTGAATTCACCATTCAATGACTGAATCTTCTTTCATTCGAGTATTCTGATGGATAACAATAACTTAACAGTAGTATAATAAATTTCAAAAAGACTACATATTTTTTTTCCATTTCATTAAATAAAACAACAGATAAAGATCATACTTGCAACAAAGGTATATGTTAGAACAATGGAGATAATATACAAGATCTTTTTTTAACTTTACATTACAAAGATTAACAAAACCTCCATTGTTCTAATTTGAATAAAAAAGATGAAAATATTCTTCTGAAATCATAGTTTCTCTTGTATTCAATATTATAATGTGCTTAGTTACAGTTGCTTCTAGTCTAATTAATTATTTGTGGTATGAATTCTTTAGAAATAATATGATAAAATGTTTGTTCCAGCATAAACAATTGACAAAATTTTACATTTTAAAATTTTGTTATGAAACAAGAAATCTCTATATATTTGAATACAGATTATTTTATAATAGAACTAATTTTTTTTCTGGTATTTAAAAAATCTATCTTCTTGCATTTTATTACAAGTGATTTTATATTATCTTATATTTCTGCAATTAGAAAATTATCTTTTCATGTATCTGTTGGAAAACCAAAGTAGTACTTCCTGATTATGATTACTCAATTTAAAAATTGAGATTTTGTGAATATTATATTTAAAGAATTAGTAGGGTGAAATAATTATTGGGTTAGAACAATTAGTGATTGAACAAAAAAGTATCAGTAAGACATGAAATTCAGAAATGTCATTATAAATTATTACATGACAGTTCCAATTTAAAGAATTTCTTATGAACAAAATATAATTTTTGCTAGTAAAATATTATAAGTAAATATACAGATTTCTATGTAAAAGAGGAACTTTTATAAATCAAGTATAATATAGTACAAAGAACAAACAAAAGTTATTTCTATTTTTATTCTTTTTAAATATTGGTAAAGTCATAAGAAATAAGTATTCTTTCTATTACTTCTTTTCTTCTCTGCCATGAATCCACACTCTCAAGAAATATGAAGATAATAAATAATGCAAAGAATATAGTAATACTTGCACTCACTTTCAAATTCCTAATGCCAATCATCAATCACACACACTTAATTCTTTTCACACATATTTCAAAAACAATAATATAATTTTTATTACACAAATATTAATTTTTTTACATTTGATTTTACAAGCCAGTTGTAAAATTGACTATAAAAAAAATAGGTATAAAAATAGTTCATTCAAACATGAATATATTAACAGAATCACTGCTTCACAAATGTTATTTTTGTTACTTATGAGCAAATATGCCGATGCATAATTAATTTCTTTCTTTCTTTTTTTTTTTTTTTAGGTTGACACTTTCTGCTTTCTTTTCACAAAATATTACATTTTTAGGATTGAAAGAGAATGACTTTGATATGACACAACCAGTTTCAATGTTTACAGAGCCCATGAATCCACTTAATCACTTACCATTTTTTCTTTGGCTTCTAATTCTTTTGCTTCAACATCATCATCATCAAATATCTTCAGATTCTTTACAAAATACCACACTCCAGCATCGAAGAGAGTCCCAATTGTTACAAAACCTGTAAATAAATAATTTTCTACTGTATATTGTGGTACTATGAGATCTGCCATAAACATTATCTGCAAATACAATGTAAAGGATAATATAAGTTTCGTATTACTGTAAAGTTGACTAAATTATGGAATTTGTATATTAGGAAATGTTCGGTTATAAAAAATGATTGTGATACATTTTGTTGACACTAGCAGATTCTGTTCAGTTATCAAGAGAGTGTATCAACAAAGAGGTGACTAGTGATGTGTCTGGGTAGAAAAAAAATTGCTTAGGAACTGTCAATCCACAATATTAGGCTGACTAGTGTATATGAATGAAAACTTAAATAAACAACTTGTCATTGCCAAAGTTTGCATTAAAATGCAAGTGGCATGGACAAATACTTCTTGAATTTTCTGAAAAATGATTAAACATGTAGATATTATTAAAACAGATTTATGGAGAGAACTGATGCATATTATATTACTGCTCTTAGTTAAATTAGTTAACAGTAAGATCGTGTTATTGTTCATGTTATAACTCTTAGTTCAAAATATTAAATACATTATTTATTGTAACATTTTTTATTAAGAAAATATCTATTTGTTTTAATTTTGATTTCACTAAATTCTTCAATCTGCAATATTATTGTCACTAACAATCAGGAAATATTACATTATTTTTTGAGCCTTGCCTTGTCATTCAGGTCACATAAATAACATTGGTTAGGAATAAGTTTGGTTACAATATTTATACAAAATCATGGTATATAAGATTGAAGATTTGCTCTGTCAACATGTCAATAAATTGAATTTAAATTTAAAATACTTAATTGCATATTTTTGTCCAGAAAAGTGAGTAGTAACAACTTTAATTATTAGTTCACTATGATTTTAATTTCTTTTTGAAATGTTAGTTTGGGCAATTATTGCCGGGGGAAAAAATGTGTAACAAGTTACATTGTAAAGTGAAAAATTAATTTGAAGTAGAATTAAGTTTTAAACAAATGCGTGTGTAACAGAAGTTATTGACAAAATTTGTTCATATAGTTGTTATTCATTGAAGTGTTAAGATGAACTTTTTTACATACACTTGCACACAAATGAAGTCAAACTACAGATATTTGTAAAAGGTATATTGTTTTCATGAATGTAATCATTATTGCCATGGACCACATTGACAAGTTTTGGATTACATTATTCATATGTTACTCACTTGCAGCAGTTAGATTCAGCATGTACCTCAGAGATTCTCCATTATACAACCAACAGTTTCCAGTTCCAGAACATGTTTTACCCCAAACTAAACATGTTTTATCTGAAATTCAAATAACAATAATTGTTGATTAAAGCATGACAATTATTTATTTTTTAATGGACAATACGTTTGTGACGTAAAAACATTTTACACAAAATTTTTATTTACATCTACAAACATTTTGTTTTGAACTAACATATTCATTGAAAATAAATAGCTTAAGAAGAAGTCAATAGTTTCATATGCAGTATAAGTTTCATATTCATTAAATATTAGCATAGGGAAAATTAGTATGTATTTTGAATCTATTGAAAAATATTTCTAAAAGAACATATGTGCATGATACAGAATGTTCAATTATTTATAAACAGTTTAATGTCAAATAGTTTTAATTAGGAAAATTTATTTGATTGTTTACCAAGCAAAAATCCAAAGAATATTGGTGATGGAATGAATGCAAAAAAGCTCATAATTGTGAGGCCAAATGCCATTGCCACTGGCTTATCCTTCTCTTCAACACATCTGAAACCAATGAAAAAAATCATGAAGTTTATAATATTACATTTGCATGCAACATTGGAAAAAAATTTCTTTCACTTCAACATCACATACCTCACTGACACCAGAAAATTGGATGCTCGTCCTGTTGCTCCACTAAATTTGAGCAAACACACAACTGCAAGAAAGATGTAAAACTTCTTCTGACAGTCCACTGGGCATGGTGAAGCTTTCACAGAACCTCCTCCAAGAGGTGGAGAAGAAGTAGAAATTTCACTGAGTTCAAAATGACCACCATTTAATATTGGTGAAGGAGGAACACAACTACATTGAGTGAACATCTGAAATTTAATGTTTAGTAAGTAAATGCATATTATATGTAATTAGAAGTGCATTAAAAATGAATATTTATGTAAGAACAAGTGAAAAAATAAATTACCTTTGTTCCATTGGTCATAGAAATTGAAGTACAACCTGCATGACAAGGAGAAATAAATGTGGTTTGTCCATAGCATACAGGAGAATATTTTACGTAGTCACAGCTGCAGTTTGTATTACAAGGCAATACAGTGTTCAGCCTACAAAACAATGTGAATTGCACTTTGTTCAGAACTATAAATATATGGAAATGCACTACAAATTGTGTACTGGAACATTGTTTTAATGACATAGCAAAATTTAAATCTCTGTCTGGAAAGTGATTCTGCCAATTGAAAGTGATGGTTTGAACTCAATACAGGATGAAAATATCTCAAAGTTACTATATAAAATTAAATCTAATGCATGTTTGTTACAAAATGTTGTTCTAATCTCCTTGTAAATATATCCTTTAAAATTGCTTGATCACTTTTATTCAGTACCATCAAATTTACTTTTATTGATGTAACAAGATATCTCACTTCTGTATCTGGTTTCCTAATTGCTTCACAGTATTAAGTCTTAATTAATATTCAGTAACTGATCACTAATGTGACTTCTCAAAAAAATTCAATTCTTGTTAAAAAAGAGAATTTGAACAATGTTTTTGCCTGATGTTGATGTCTGATGTCTGATGTCTGATTTTGAATGAGAGAATTTGATCTTTTATTTTTACAAATTAAATTTCAGTCAGGTACATACTCTCCATTAGGAAGCATTGGCCCATGGTTATCATTGGCTGGACACCCAAGGAAAACATATGAGATCATCCCCAAAACAGATATCGCACCTACAACAACATTCCAACCAGCCAAATAACGAGCTCTGGGGCGAAATTTAGATATTACCATTCCAGATAGCAAAATACCAACTGCAGAGAACACCAGACCCACAGTGCCTGAAAATATAATACTTTTAGAGAAAATATATGTTTCACTCTTCATTGGTTTAAGAAAACCAAAAATTTCAAAACTACCTGTGACAAGACTTGAAACTGATGCTGATTGTCTATACATTGTTTCAATGTACTTGGGCATAAATATCCAATATGGCATGTAGCCCGTAAAATAAAAAACTGCTGCAAGATTATTACACATGAGAGTTGGATTGGTTACTAACCTCTTGAATGTTGTTATCATATCTGGAAAGTATTTAAAAAAATGTAAATTAAAACAATATTTGCCCAAATGTTTTAGTTATTTGTATTTGAAATATCAATATTGTAGTTAGGGAAATCTGGAAAACATAAAGAAATCAGAAGTAAAGATATAAATATTTTATTGAAGGCATCCAATAAAAAACTTTAAAATGCTGTACAACCCAATTTATGTCCTTGTGCCACGGAAAACAGGAAAGTAGAAGTACCTGACAATGAAGTAGGTAATTCTGATGTTTCAAGTTCTGATTCATCAGTTACAGAATTCAGTTTTTTCTTTTCTTCTTCCACCATTCTACGAACAGCAGCTCGAGGAAGAGATTTGGGAAATAATCCCAGAATGGAAGACAATGTAAACAGAATACAAGCCAAAATAATCCAACCTGGAAAAGATTTGTTTCTGTCATTATGAGAAAACCCAATCAAATATTATTTTCAGGAAATCTTAAGATTTTACAAGAATTATTATCACAAATAATGTTAGGTAGTTATTATTTATTAAAAGTCATATTGACATGGACTTGCAATACCATTACATAGTACTGCTACAAATCAAAATTTGTCATAGTAGGATTTATTTTTGAGGTAATAATGTATAAACTTCTTAGTTTATCAAGCATTTGGAAATTCCTTTCCACCACTGAAAACTTTAAAAATCTTTTTAAAAAACCCTTCTGAACTGTAATCCTTGACAAGCAATATTATGCATCAGAAGAGGAAGCTTCTATTTCAGAAAATCAACAATATTATTCCTGGCATGTATGAGGATGAACATAATTACACAAAATATCAGCTCATATATATGCTTCCCATGCTGTTTCCATGTGAATTAATTATAAAAAATAGTTGTGGTTGAAATTAATGAATCAACTTCAAAATGTGAATGAAAGTAGATGTGAAAAGAAATATTTTACTGTATGAGAATCTCAGAAATATAGCTTCCTTAGAAAATTATTGTATTAAAAAGAATATTTTATTAAATAGTGAAAACTTCTACTGAAAATTCTTTCTTCAATCATGACAAATCTTGGCTTACCTAGCCACCAAGCACCAAGCCAACGAGGATCATCAGTTTTAATTGTTGGAGTCAGAGTTGGTGAAATGTACAATTTCAAGCAAACTGATGCCAGTGAATAGCCAATTGCTGGACCCAACATTCTAATGAAATAGGAGAAACCTGTGAATAAAAAAGTAATTGAATTAAGAGAATAAAGATAACACTTTTTTTATATCACACTTTTATAAGAAAATAGAAAAATATTTCCTATGCAAAAGTTAACATTTGTGCAGGAAATCATTTAATGTGGACACTATGCGATGAGGAAACATGTTTTATAGGTTTGTCTAAGAATAAGTGGATCTGAAAATCCATCATTTATGTTTTTTAATTCTAGAGTTTTGATAGAATTTTGAATATTTTGTGACTTACTGATAAGAGCTGGAGTCTTTGATTTTTTGATATTATCATCCATGTAAGTAACACCAAGAGTATAGTAAAGTGAACCTCCAATGCCTGATACAAAATTTGCTACAAATAAAAGAATGACTGGTGAATAGTTTCCATCTTCTTCCTCACAGCCCACACCACCTTCTGGTTTGCAAAGAGTTTTCTGTTTTTCTCGACCTGAAACACATGAAAATAATTTTTGTAAAATACATTCAAAAAGCCTCCATATTGCATTAAGAATTCTTTCATCTTAATAATTATTTGGTAGTAGTAGTAGGTATGTTAGTAAAAAATGCTTAGCTCTCAGATAAGTTTATAAATAATATAGTCAAATAAATTTTATAGTAACCTAATTCATTAATGCCACTACAAGAATGATTTTAATGATTGTGGCAAAATATACCTTAGATATTTTTCTCTCAATTTTTTCCATAATTTGTAAAGGATAGAACTGCAAGATATTTTCAAATCCATAAGAAATTGGTTCCACTGTTTCTCTTCTTACAATTACTTTGAAACTTACAATATGTAATGCACAGATATTTCAGAATTACTACAATAGGTTTTTATGAAAATATATTTCTAATAATGTTCACATGTGAAACTCAACTCTGTCCACAACTTTCACTTCCAATCTACCCTTCTATATTTTCTTTGGTAACTTTGAGTCTAAAACAGGTGTTTGTGAAGAAACATTATCCTAAATGGAAAAGAAGGAACTAAAAGCAAAAGAAAAAAATGAAAATTCAAACTAACGATCAACTAATGTATTTACAATTTTCTGAACTTCAGTTCAAACTAATGATAAAGATAAAAGTAGTGGATAGTGGTGATGACAACGATGATGGAGCACAAGAGGGAGAGATGGGAGAGCGCAGGAAACATGGGTTTCTATTTTGTCCACCATTTCCACATGAAGTGAGTTCCCCAATGTGAATCTCATCAGCTAGAAATGGAAAGCTAGCACGACTGCTACAATGCCAATGATCAATCTTGAAACTTGTTGATAGCTTGGATTGAGAACCCAAATAGAATCCCACTCATTATTAGCGATTAAATTATTGTTGAATGTTGAGTACTGCACAATATTAGTATCACCCTGAATTGGTATAGTACAGTGACAAGGTCGAAACGAACACCATGATTCAAGATCGAATATTAAGTTGAAAATTGCTTCTTCAAAAATCGCAAGCTCTCGGACTGGCATTTACAACACGCGTCTTACAGTTGATCTAATTAAGAGACCACAATTCTTGGGCGCTTTCGCAATTCAAATTAATGGGTGCTTTCGCACACACATACGCACTTACGTGTGCATAAATGCGTCGAGCAAACTGTGTATAGATGGTTTTGTGGATTTTGTTAGTGGATAATGGCGCTGAGAGACATCATAGGAAGCTTAGATTACATTCAACGATTGGCATTACAATTTCTGAGCGAGGAAATCGAATAGGCTACTCAGGAATTATGCGGAGAATATTTGTTGCATCTCTTAAAAATTATTTGAAGCAAATACCATTATAATCTTATTAAAATCCATGAAATCAGCAAAAAATGTTTCAAAAATGACGGAAAATGTAAACAAGGACTTCTTAGTCCAAATCGACGAAAAATTTAAAAAACGTCCTATAAATATTTGACTTTTCCTTTTGTCGAAACATCAAATTATTATCTATACATTGTTCTAAAGTGAAAAGAAAACAATATTAAAATCCGCCCGCTAGTTATAACCATACCTGGGAATGTATGACTAATTTTGATGAGTAGGCGATTATGAAGATTTAGTATGAATAATGATGGAATGAGTACTAGAAGAAACATGAGGACCCCAAGAAAAACTGTCGTGAACCCGCTTTTTCCACATGTATCAACAGGGATTTGAACCCCCGCCCTAGCTGGGTAAGGTGGACCATTGCATTTTGGGAAATAATAGCCGATCGCAGTCCCTCTTGGCGGGGGCTCGCTTAAGCAAGGCCGAGAAGGTCCTTGCGACGCCCGCCGCGCTTGCCGAAACTGCTAACGTGAACAGTTATAAAAAACGTAACGTCGAATCTTGTTTGAAGCTCAAAGAGAGAGTTTTTGCACAATTCTTTCGCTTACTCTCATGAGGTGCTGACATCTGTTAGCAAAGGATTAAGTTACACTTGATTTTAGTTTGGCGCCTTTTTTCGTTTACCAATTTCGTTTTCCAATTTTTATACTGTGGTTTCGACTTAGTACTCGGATTTCACATTTTAATCATTTGTTTCCTGGAAATCAACACCGAGAAGCGATTGCCAGTTTTTTTTCTTTTTATTCTTAGGAAGTGTTTCTCCCTGCTACGGATGAATTAATTGAAGTGTGCGCATTTGGGAATATTGATATGGACGATGTAGGAAATACAATTCTGCACGAAATTTTTTAACCAGATCGACCTCTAATTACAAAGTCAGTAAAATTTGGAACGAGATTAAAGGGTTTTCCCGTTTGCGAAACGACAAGAATTTCAATATTTCGTCTCACTGGCTTCCATCCTCATACAGAGTGCAAGCCAACACTTCCTTAAATAGCATACATCATGTTTTGCAGAAAACCACAGTCTGCTTTGGTCTGGAATGAGGAATTTTACTTTTCTAAGACAGACCAAGAAACCAAAAGTAGATAAATACTTACAATAGACGAATAGATATCACTAGATCATGGCATTAAAATTCTGATTTCGTTTTGGGGAAATAAATCTTTAGGTATGTAAAAGCTCAAAACAATTACAGAGAGGTAAGAAAATAAATTATTAAAGGTTTTTTATGCAAAGTATCAGTAAACTATAAATCGTCTTTGAATAAAAGAATTAGAATAATTAATGAAGAAATTATATTAGATTAAAGAAAATGGTGCTACATATCTCAGAGAAGATAGAACATGTTAGCCGCAGGAATTCGCCGAGAAGGAAACATAATTAACCTTTGTAATTAATAAACACTACTGGGAAGTTCACTTGGTATGTCTTGGATCACAGAATTTGTAAACGAGTCTCCAGACGCGTTCATTGAAATGGTGGAATTTTCTCCACGTGCTGGATAAGAGATGGTGCGGGATGTCGGGGATCGAAGCGTGCGCATGAAGGGAGCGGGCGCGCCTGATCGGTCACTTGAGCAGAGGAGCGAGTTGAGATTCGTTGTTACCGCAAAACATGTTTGTTGCCGGGCGTTGTCGGTCGGCGCGAGGTTGGGTTGGGTGAAGCAGGGAGAGGCCGAATGGCGCTGGATGGGAGAACGGGGTGGGGGAAGAAAGTGGAGCGGGCTGGTTTAGGAGGGCGTAATCATTTGTATTAGTATTATTGTTTTCGTAATGTATTTATAATTCTCGAATAATGAGTTGGGATTGTAGAAAATCTCTCTACCCTGCTGTGTAGTATGTATATGTGACTCTTGAGCAATTCTCAGTAAAAAATATGAATTAATTTATGAGCAAGAGTATAAAGAATTTTTTGCAAAGTAGCGTCAGCATATTTTTACATATGTAATTTTCTTTGTTATTTTAGAGTGTGATAGTACACGAAACTATGAAATTTTCGTATATCTAGAATTTATTCCATGATTAATTAAAAATGGGAAAAATATTACCAATGCATTGAAACAAGTTTAATATTTTGATAATCTTGAGGAGTGAAATCTTTTTTGTATGTCACGTACATAGCGGATATTAACAATAGCTAACTTACAGTTGAACAACATCTGTAATATGTCGAAGCTTCTGGAAACCTTTCTGCAGGCGTTCACTTGTACCGGCACGTAAATAGAATGCGCTCACGAGTCAAATAAGGGAACAAAAGAAATACGGAAATACGAAGGAAGAACGAAGATAAAATCAGAAAAGGGAAGGAAAAATAACAAAAATTAAATCAGTAATATGAAAAATAAACAAAAGAATAAAGAGACTAATTAAAAGGAAACAAGGAGAAAGAAAAATACATTTACTTTTCTCTTCCTTCTTTTCTTTATTTTTGTTCTTTCCGCATATTTTTCTTCTTATCACGAGGCAGAATAAAAAAGGGAAGCTTACTGAGCAGCTCCAAGGAGAGGTTGCGGTCGACGACGCCGCCGTGCTCCAGCGTGAGCGCGAGCGCGTCCTCGCCCGGCCCGTAGAGCGCGTGCGGCAGCGCCGTCAGCACGCAGAACAGCACCACCGTGTAGATGCCCAGCGCGATCCAGCGCGGCCGGTGGCGCCGCCCCGCGTAGTACGAGATGAACACGGACACCAGCAGCTGGCTGATGTCGTTTCCCACGGAGATGATGCCTGCAAGAGCGCACCAGATGGCAGCCAGATTCCAGACCACTTGTTCTCTCAAGGACACATTAGTAAACTCTCAAAATTATTTTAAAAAGAGACTTCTTTTTGAAAAATATTCTATTGTTTTTCTGAAATAAATTACAAACGAGAAGCTAAGGTTGTGGATCAGGAGGGCACCCTCGGCGCCATTGTTAATTGTGAATGAGGAATATGCGATCAGGAATCTGAAATGTCTACAATAGTATTGTCTAAAAGAGTAAGGAGCAACACTGTGCGCCAGTCGATGCAACACACACACACTGTGCGCCAGTCGATGCAACACCCTTGACGCATGGCCAATGCTCTTCTTTCAACCGTCACTCATGCGTCCCTTGTGTTGGTTAGTGTTTGTGACAAAATCTGCCTCCCCAAAAGTATTACTTACATTTTCACTAACATTTCCTTTTACATATTGTCTCGACTAATTTTTGAATCACAAAAACACATCGTGCAGCAGTTTTCTTATTAAAAGATTATTAGTGTTTTGTACATTGACTGCATTAATATCCGTAAGAATTAAGTACTAATCACGATGTTTCAAAGTAACGGTTAAATAATATTTTAAAACATTTAGGTCAAAATGTATATTATTCGCTTTGTATTGGCTCACAGGTTCTTGGACAAGCCTCGTAAAAACTCGCAGAAGCTAAAAGTTGATGATGAATTGCATTTTATTTACAGAATAACTAAAAATAATGCGTAACAGTCCACTTGTGAAAGAGAAGAGGAATTATAAAAATGAGCATGTACTCGACCGTGTACTGAGAACTTCGCTGAAATTGGTTTATGTTGTGATCAATGACCTGACACATGGGCGTGGACCGACATGCGTATCTCTTTGCTAATGAGTGAGAGCAAACTGATCAACCCTCCATACAACATTAATCAAATCAGAGCTATCTCGCTCTGCGACAAGCTACAACGTAAACATGTTTATCTGATAAGTTGTCCAAGAGGTATGTAGTATTAGGAGGACGCAACTTATTAGGAGCAATAATAGTTTTGAAGAAAAAATTGTCTGAAGAAAAGAAAAACATGAACGACTGATTCATTAAGAATTAACGCGATTGAAAACTGGAATTCAAAATATTATATCTTATATTGCTTCTCATATAAATTGATATTTTCACCGTTATTAATTAAGTTTTTATAGTAATGTTTTTTATAAAGTCTTAAAAAAATTAAAAGTTTAGTTAAAGGGATTTGCAGCTAGTTATATAGAAATGAGAGAAACGAAGTTCGAATAAAGCAAATTTGATATATGAAACAAAATTAAATTAATAAAATAGTTTCCACGTCTCTCTAAGCTCATTTCATGCTTCTCGAATGTAGCTACTAAACGCTAAGAAATATAGTATCTAAGCCTCCGTAGAAGAACTATTAATCTAATGAAAGCTACGTGCCAGTAGTAATTTACACCTCCCATTTCTTTTTTCATTATTGTTTGCTATAATTTTCTTAAGAGCCAACAAATACAAATAAATAAAACTTAATTTCTAGACACAAAAAAACACTCATAAGGTGACACATTATAGAATAAAAGAACACTCAATAAAAAGTTTTACTTTACAGATTTTTTAAATTGTGAAAATGGAATATTGTATTGACTCGTGGTAAACAATAAATTGCGATTTGAAAAAAATATAATCGAAAATTATAGGTGAAAAAAATGAAGCACCAAAATACCCATCAAATAATCTTAGGTATTATAGGAACCTTACCGAAAAAAAAGAACCGTTGAAGTATACCAGATCCATGACACTGTAACAAGGAAACTTGTTACAGTATCATGGATCTGGTATATCCCAACGGTTCTCTTTTTCGGCGTTTATATTATTATATTAACTTATTGTATTATACTACACAACAATAGGCTATTATAAGAACGAAAGAATGGTAAAATTGAGGGAGTTAACTAAAAACAGCGAACAAAAATTTGAGAACGTTTTAACGAAAAGGCTGTTTTTGAGAACAAAGTCGCACACAGCTCACCTGTCGTTCTGCTGGGGATCTTGAACCGCTTCTCCAAGGTGGTGATGGTGCCATTGAAGTAGGCGTGGCTGGCGGAGAAGATGCAGCCGAGCAGCCCGTAGAGGAAGACGAAGGCCTTCTTGTTGGCGAACTTCTGCATCCAGGGCGCCCTGCAGGGCCCGATGCCGCAGGAGGTGTCGTCGGTGAGCGGGTGCTCTCTGTACAGCTCCTCCAGCAGCTCGTGCTCCTGCTCAGGGGTGGTGGCGGCCAGCGTCGCCTTCGCCACGTACGCGCGGTCGTACTGGACGTTCCTCTTGGGGCTGACGGGCGGCCCCAGAGGCAGGCTCATGGCGGCGCGCGCGCGGGGCGCCCCGTTGTTGGCCGGGGGCAGTGCGTCGTGGGCGACGTTGTTGACGGCGATGTCGGCCGCCGCGTCGTGGACGACGTTATTAGCGACGTTGTTGGCGGCGGCCTTGCCCGAGGAGGCCATGGCGCCGTCGCCGTCCCGCACCGCGTCGCGCAACGAACCGCGCCTCGGCGCCTCCTCGCCAAGCGCCAGGTCGTCCAGAGGGCGCCGTGCGCGGCGCGGCGCGGCTCCCGCTAGTAGAGAGCGTACTTCACTCGGCCTCTGCTCGCTCACGGAGCCTCCTCACACGCGCATACTCCCAGTCCACGCTGATTTAACCAACTACGCGAAACAAGAACGAGATGCAGTGCCTGACGCTCTTCAGAGTTTGACCAAGTATTGAAACCAGAGAAGTGATTCCGTCTATAAAAATGTACCCCAAAAATTGAGGTGAGTGTTGTACGTGGCAAGAACAAGTCCGCGGCGAGGGGGCGCCGGCTCCAGTGACTGAGACGCGCTGACAACAGAGCGAGGCACCGAGCGCCCTGTGGCGCGGCGCGCGCCCAGCCGCCTCTATATATGCATGCCCCGCGAACCTCGGCGGGTGAAGGCGGTATCGCGGCGGGGCGCAGGGCGCGGGGCGCGGGGCGCGGAGCGGGGCGCCAGCGAGGGCAGACGCGCACGCGTTTGACACGCCGCCGATTCGCGTGATGCTCAGTGCTGACTTCGGGCGGAGAAAGTTCTTGAGGAGGAAATGATGCGAGGGTAATGTAGTGAGGGTAAGATGCCGATTATCTGCGATTAGAAGCACCTGAAAAAATAAATCTGATTAGATTATGTTTCAAATGCACTCAATGGGGGAAGGGTGGATCGAAACCTAGTGTAGTAAGGGCTGTACTTTCAAGCTATTCCATATTCATTTATTTCTCATTGACCAACTTATTTGCAAATATTATAACGTCAAAGAATGTTAATAAAAATATTTTCTAATTATTGCACATAATAGTAAAACATTCATTTCTTAATAGTTTATCAAATGAAAAGAAAACGAAAACAAAATTGAAAAAGAATGTGTACCAAAATGAATGATCAATGCACATCAGCAACAAATAATTCTTGAAAGAACAATGTAAGTTTTAAGTTTTAAATGCATATATAAAGAAGAAAGTTGAGGAAAATCTTGTAAACATTTAATTTTTGTTTCTTTAAATGATATTTATTATGATGTGTTTATTATTACGTCTGAAGTTATTATATTTAACGTACGGAATTGAATGTCTAAACGCTGAGTAGTATTTTCTATGTGTGAAAGGTGCTTATGGTTTCGCTAGATACCCAGGATTTCAGGAAAAAATCCAAAAATCGTGAAACATTTTCGATTTTGATTAAAATGCTAATGTTTGATTGTGTTTGCCTGTTCATATATTGTGTGTACCGACTGAATTCTCATACTCAGTGTGTCCCTGATTACGATATAGGCGATATCATGCGACAGAAGGCTTGAAGGAAGAGACCGCCCAACATTAAATATTCGCTATTCACATGTCGATTTATGAATCACTACCTTTTTAATATTCAAGTATGTAAAGACGTGTTGTACTGTGTATCGGTATATATTTATTGCAGGATTCGTGAAGACTAATTTTAATAAAATATGTATTTTATTTGCTTACAAGTTTTATTGCGTACATTCTATAAAATTTTATTTGTGGGTTTTGAGTAGTGTGAGTGATACTTTTTGGAAAGACATTTGTGTGGTTGTGTTTAACCGCATATTTGATTCCTCTTTCATCCTATAGATCACCAGTTTTATTCCAATTTACTTCGATTACTTATGTAGTATGCGAAATGATTTATGGAGTAAAAGAAAGAGAAAACAACAATTTAACGACAGAGAAGAAAATACATTATGTACAAAATTAAAAAGTTCATATGACAATAATATGTCAAAATAAATTTGATCTAAAAAAATTAATCAAAAATTGAGAGCGAGTCGATTCTGGATTTCTCAGTTTTACAATAAATTCTAAAAATCAAGATATAGCTGTAATGGCAGAGAAAAAATTGAGACTGTTGAATGGAGACAAGGGAGTTAATATTGGGTTATTTGAACTAGAAATAAGTCAAAGGATTTTTCAGTACACAGGACAGTCATAGGTCAAAAGATTTATCAGTAAAATATTGAAAACTACGGTCAGTTGTTTCAATTAAAGTGCTCGTAAGCAAATATTTTCGATCCCAAATAACTAGCTTTATTCAGTGATGGTTACGGTTGAGATAAAATGTTACAAAAAGGCGTCTTGTAGTCAAGGGTAGCTTGAATTCAATTATAATGGCACTTACTGCTACATCTTCAAATATCGTGGATCATTAATAAACAACTCGAGGACATGTGCCACAGATATAAACTCTAGAGTAATTATGGAGAAGAAAGCAACCCAAGCTTTACACGGCGTATTATAAAATAACAATATCCGCCAAGATGTCAAAAATAAAGGATACTCCACTATATAGTAGAAAATATAGTACTATACGGAGCGGAAATGTGACTACAAACACAAAAAATAAAAGATAAGATTAGGACAGTAGGAATGGACTACATGAGACGATGTCTACAATTTACTCGCAGGTACACAGTGCAAAATGAAGAAATATGGAGAAAGAAGAATGTAATTTGTTCTATTACGAAGACATTGGAAAATAGAGGACTACAATCGTATGGACATGTTCAGAAAATGTTTGAAAATAGATGGCCACACAAAATCTTAAAGTAGCAACCTGAGAGGAGAAGACGAGGAAGACCCGTTTTAGAGAATGGGAAAAATATATCCATAAAGTTATGGAGGATAGAGGCCTCAAACCAGAAGATTAGAAGGACGGAGAGTTATGGATGGTGAAAACGGCAAACTTCTAAGGGGAAAAGAAGAAGAAGAAGAAGAAGAAGAAGAAGAAGAAGAAGAAGAAGAAAGAATGGTCAAATTTCCATCAAAGATTCGTCGGTGGTCAAGAATTCCACGGTGGGTGAGGGCTTACTGGCCTCTGAACCCCCAGTCGTTCTCGTCCGAGGTGCGTGGAATTTCGAAGGGCGGAAAATCCACAGTAGCCATGTCACGCTTGTGGCAACCCAGGCGGGAGTCCGGCAAAATTCAATCCCTCCGTCAACATCCCGCCCTAACGACATCTCACTTCCTCCAAACCAGACAGTTCGGATATAGTTAACTGAGATCGACATCTGGCGGAGAAGGCGAGAGTCAAATCCCAGGCGTCATAAGGGACCGCCCGCTAGGTGCGCCTGCTCGATGGAGTTCCCTCCACCCGCGCAGGCTTCCAAGGGTCGGCAAACATGAGTGCGGAACAACGGCTCAAGGACAATCTCCCCGCAAATAATCCCATACCATCAATAAATTAATAAATATCAATGATCGACTACACTTTTGATTTTGAACCAGTAGTAAGTATAAAGAATATATAATAAAAAGTGTCCATATAAAGAAGATATTTTAGATTCTAAAGTTTAATTAAATACTTTAAAGAAAATTATATTACTCCATTTTTAATTGTAAAAATTTCAACTTCAAAAATTTCAGTTAATTGGAATATAAATAAAGGATAGTAGGAAACTCAAAATAAATCACTTAATTATTTTGGCGGAGGCGTGAGAACAGAAAAATGAGCAAAACAATGTGTTTATTCGATCGCAGTTCTATTTTTAAACATTTCAATGAACCAGAGAAAAGACTTAATTATGTTGCGGAACAAATCCCAGAGCTCCGATAACTATCGGAACTATCTGTGCTTTTACGCTCTACATTCGGCTGATCTCCATTTCCGAACTCTTGTACTTCACACGTTTCTCTGCCTCCTTGGTTACGACGTTTTGATTGCACGACACAGCATCTACAAGTAGAAATGTTTTTTCTCCGTATCCCAGATAAAAATAACAGGTTTGTTTTGCCATTATAGTGCGATAAGTTTGAATTTGTTGGTCGTTTGAATTTGGTGTTGAACACAATCCACCAGACGTCACCAGTTTCGGTGAGTATTCGTACAATTTGGAGCATGTATTTGTAACTTTTGGAGGAAAGTAGAACTGACTGGGTTGAAATGATGCAATGTGCGTGACGCCGCGAGGTATCACCAGAGGAATTGGTCAATTTTGACAACCGTCATTTCAAAAGGGTAGATAATTTTATTTTTTTGATATGTTGTTAGGATTTATACCAAAGATAGGAAATCAAATTTGCAGCTTCAAAAGACCTGAACGTGTCACACAAAACTAAAAAGACAACTAAACTTAATTAAAGAAAACTAAAAAAACTAAAAAGACAGTGAAATATATTTATATAATGTGTATTATTTTCATCCTAAAAGTACATTGAATTTGCTATAAATCCTGCAAAATTCGATAGTGTTCATTATTATAGTCCGCCAGCTTGCTGACAGTTGATGGACATCAACGAAAATATTGCAATTAAATTTCTATTGACACCAATTAGTTGCCTAATAGGTCAACACTAGTACAAAGACACGAATCACCGTCACAGTATGGTGAATTGTAGGTAAGTGTAGTGGAAGGTTGCAGGTTTCAGTAGTGCTTATAAGGTGTAGATATTTTTATCATAGTTTCTCTTTCCATTGTACCTCATCTGAACATCATCCTATCAATCATTCGTATAAAAGTGTATATCATCGTGTACCCCTTATGATCATTCTCCGATTCTTCATACATCGGAAGGTAAAGGGACCCAAGCCTGTGGTCACGTTGCCAGGGGAGGGGAGGGCAGGTACACGTAAACTTCCTCTCTCACCTACGTGCGTTAATTAGTAGTTAGTTGCTCATCAAATCAGATTCATCAAACTGAAAATCGAGGTGACCCTATCCATGAATCAATAATTAATCATTTATAATCATGTTGCTTTGAATTATAAACAGTGTCATGTTGAATTGATCATTGATGAGTTAATTATTTCAGTGAGAAATTCGATTGGATATGATCAGCTTTACTCTCAGAGAGGACGCACGGGTAGCAATTGTAGAACTGCCCGATGTCTTGTTTTCTATGACTAAACGGTTCGACGAAGCTTGAATCAATGAACACGAGGGAAGACATTTCCGATCGGATAGCTCTAGGTTACCTGTAATGACCACAAAGAGAAATACTTATCATCATCCTGAAATCTAAGTGTACTAATTAAAAATCCTTCCTGGACCAGTTACAGTCATCGTTAAGGACATCTTTCTTCTAGACGAGTGACAAAGATGATTTGTATTTTCACAACATGTTTTCTTTTTTCGTTAAGGAGCGTTAAGGAGTAAAAGAGTACTTAAGAACACAAATCCGGCCTCCTTTGGTAACGAATGTACCTCCTCATCATGATATGCAGCAATCTCATAGATTCCGTTAAATATCGGAAGTATGACAAAATTTCTTTTTTTCATTGTAACGATTTTATGACGTTTAAGAATAGGAATCACTTAATTGCACTTCTGGAGTTGTTTTAGTAGATTTTCATTGTGTTTTTTTGCCTATTTTAGCTTCTGATGTCTATTTTCGCCTTTTCTGCCCTTTTCCTCATTATTTTCCCTTTCTCCCTCCTAGCAGAAATATCTATCCAGCTGGAAACATGCAAGTGTGGATCTGCAAGCCTGGACAAAATGAAGGGAGAGTCATGTGTTGGGACACGGAGGCTTCAGTGTCAGGTAGTGTTAAAAATCTAAAAGGGAAAAGAAAAAGACACCAGTGAAGATTTTAGATACTTTTAATTGATTCTGACATTTTTGCCCACGAGAAAGCTTATCCTATGTTTGTG